AGATGCTCAACTAAAATATAAATTCAAGTATAGTTTGCTAGATGAGAGATGTATATTCAGCTCAGCAAGAACCCAAGGTAACCTAACATATAATATTATCAAAAGCATAGCCAAACTTAGTTTTTGATTTCAAGAAATTTGTACAGATACAAACAATATAGAAGTAAAAGGCATTAAGTTATCTAGGTGCTATCAGGCAAAGATTTAAGAGACTTTATAGATAGCAGAAACCTAAATATATTCACAATAGATCAGTTACTAGAAGAGGAAGAAAACAAATTATTCTCTTGGAATCAGATAAAATCAATAAGAGGTTGCAAGGGAAAAGGTCACAAACCAAACTAGTTCAAATTAATTGAAAGAGAAGTTCTTGCAGATCATAGCTCAAGAGAGGTTGTAGAGAACTTCAAAACTCAAAATACAAACTGAGAAATGCTGAAGTCAATTAGGCAGAAAATTAGCACAGATAAAAGAAAGAAAGAATAGATTATTTTAAAAGAAGAAAACATATCGATAGTAAGAAAAATAGTTAGATAGACCTAAGGAAAATTTATATTAGTGTACTAGAAATGTATAAAACTAGAAAATACACTTCGAGCAAGTATAGAAAAATGTAAAGGATGCAGTATTAGTAAAAAGAATGATACTAATTATCTAATTAGCAAGCCAATAAGCAAGTGGCACCAAGTTGTTAGCAAAGTAACAAGAGATGAAACAAGCACATTTGCTTTAAAACTACTACTTTTAGCCTATATAGATAAATTTGAGCTATATTCAAAAGAAGAACTTTCAATTTAGAACAGCATCTAAATAAAAATACTAAGCATAGAAGAAGCAATAATACAAAAGGTAATCAAAGATAAGAATGCTCAAGAAGATTTAAGAGAAATAGTAGAAAAGCTAAAAGAGGAAAAGGTGTTAGATATTTATATAGATAGATTACTAGTAAGTGAAGAAATAGGAAATAACAGAGAAAAGAAAATAGGAATAGGTTAGGTAATAGATAATAGAAATAATAATAGTTTAGATAATATATGTTTTAATAGTAGAATAGTTAACTAGCTCTTCTCAACTTGAGCTAAGCTCAGAGCAATCTGAACAGCAATATTAGCAGTACCATATAATACTTAGGTTAAGATCTTCTCAGATAACAAAGTAGCAATTGAAGAAATACTAAGTAACAAATCCTCAAACAGTATTCGAGATCTATTTAAAACTAAGAATAGAAGCTTAATTAGACAAATAAGAGAATATTACAAAGCAAAAAATATTGAGTTAGAGTTTATTAAGATCAAAGGTCATAGTGGTAACTTATAGAATAACAAAGCAAATAAGCTTGCCAAGCTCAGTCTCAACTCACATAAAATAGTTAAGCCAAATGATGTTAATACTAATAAAATTAAGGTTTTACCTAAATAAAAGAGCAATTTGATCGATTACTTAATAAAAGCTTTCATAAATATCATAACAGTAATAACTTACAAAACAGAATGAGCAAAATTAAACAATACAAATAAGCTAATAAATATGAGACCAGTAACTAACAATAATGAGACTATAAACTGAACAAATATATAGGATACGTTAAAGAAATATTAAGGCAGAAAGTGTATAAGTCTCAAGAAAAACAAGGCTTTGATATTCAGAATAAAATATGTGAATAAGTTACTACCAATACATAATATATGCTATCAAAGAAGATCTAAGTTATATAAAGGTAAAACATGTGTAGCATGCTACAAAACAGAAGAAACTTTTAGTTACCTAGCTACTTGTGAGATCTATCAAAAGATCTGAAAACACACAGAAGAAATAATAATAGAGGAACTAGGTTTGAAAATGCTTGAAGAATGGGATCTATCAGTATCAAGTCCTAGTCTTGTAAGTACACTCATAGGTACAAACTTAGAAGAGAAACTTAAATAAAGAAAGTTACACCTTTGAGATCTCACAAATAAAAAACAAACTAACAATATTAGAATATTGCTAAGCTCTAGATCTAAAGCCAACTGAATGATAAATTAGTTTATTGATATATTTTGGTTTAATTTTTATAAAAGGTTATAGAAGTTTCACTATGAAGTTATGACAAGTTGGAAAAAAGAAAATAAGATCAATATGCGAAAGAAAAAAAGAAAAAAGGAGAAACAATCTAGATTTAGTCTAGCAAACAAAGAGAACAATTCTTCAGAGAATTCTCAAAAGAAAGAGTCAGTAGCTAAGAATAGAGAAAAAATTCTAAAAGATTCAAACAACCAAATCTCGAGATAGATCAAAAATGCAGATTATAAGAAATGGTTAAAATTTAAAATTAAATAGACTTTTTTAATATAAGCTAGTAGTAGCCTTCTTTTAATAAAGTCTAAATGAGTATATTTAAACATATGTTTAGTCTCAGAAAGAAAATACTGCTATAGCAGATTATACTTGGGCATCTCTTAGACAGCTGAGTAAGTTCAGAATTGCAATAAAGAGAATAGTTTTAAAAGTAGAATAGCTTTTTTTCTTTTATTATGTACTTGTCTAAATATTTTTTAATATTTCTCCTAATAAAATGAAGGGCAAGATTGCCTAAGGAAAAAAAAATAAGATAATAATATTAACTTAGAGATAATAATATTTGGTTTTAGTTTATAATTTAATTAGTTTATTAATAGATAGATTTATAAAAGAATAAATAAAGAAGATAAAAGAATATTTAAAAAAGATATAAAATAAAATATAAAATAATAGAAAATAGATAATAAAAAATATAAGATATAAGAAAGAAAATTGAAAATAAAAGAAGTTAGATATTTTAAGCTAACTTATAAAAATAATAATCAAAGAAATAATTAAATATTACAAGCTAACTAAGAAAGAAAAAGATTTATTTTAGAAGATAATTTTTTTTTTGTTATTAAGGCTACTTCTTTGGCTAATTAGATTTTATTAGTTTGTTATTACAGAACTATCATATGAATAGTTTTTTAAGATTTTACAGTTACATAATAAATATATAACAAGCTATATATACAACTTTAATCATTGTCTAATTTAAGTAGTTCACTATACAGATAATTAACTATCTGTTAGTTCTATATTATGCTAACATACCTGTAACCTACCTGTGAGTTACCTATTTAAACTTCTGATTATTAACTCTTTCTCTATTCTAAACTAATATTACTGCTATATCTGACTACTTAAGCTAGTCAATTTATATATAGATCTATTTACTACACAGCTTAGATCTTCTTTAAGATATATATTGTCTAACATATTGTAAGTTGCAGAGCTCTAGCTAACCTCAGAAGTAATTCCTACTAGAGTAATCATGTACTCATTTCATAGATTTACCTAGCTTAGACTCTTGTGATATTTGTATGAACCTAGTTCCTGCTATAGCTGTCTACTAGATATAATTCTCTAAGTTTTAGCTAGATGTTTCATGAGGTAGATTTTCTTAATCTAGTTAGCTGCCAAGCCAAGTTGATGTTACTGCTAATACAAGATACCAGGCTGCATTACATAGCAAACTTACTCACACCTATTGATCTCATATTCTTCATACTCAGATTTTTCACTAGATCAAGTATTAACTAGCTTAACTGTCAAAATTTGTATTACTTCACCAAAATCAAGATTTCTACCATGCAGATTCTCTGCCTGTAGATTCTATCAAAATTTATTCATACAATATAACTTGAACATTGTGTCATATTTCCAATGTCCAATTAATATTAATGCAACATGATTTACAGAGTTATAACCTCTAGAAATAAGCAGAGTTTACTGTAAGTTAGATATAAAGATCTGAGTAATTATTCAAATTTATTAATAATAGAATTTGAATCTCAGATCTCTTGCATAGTGGTCTAACAACCTAACCACTACACTAAGATCACCAGACCTTTTAGAAAATAATTTTAGAAAACCAAAAGAAATATTTATTTTAAAAAAAGAATTATAAGTTAAGAAACTTATAATAAAAAAAAAAAAAGAAAAAAAAAGATAAACACTTGTTCTAACTTTTCTTATCTTAGAAAAAATAGCAAGATTTATATAGCTTTTTAGATATTATAAAATAGAAACCTAAACTTAGGAATCTTAGTATAGGAACCTAATTATAATAATTTAGATTAAGAACCTTAGAATAGAAACCTCAAATAGAAACCTCAAGTTATGCATGTTAAGTTAAGAACCTCTAGATAGGAATCTTAAAATAGGATCTTCTAGATGAACATCTAACATTACACAAACTCTAAAAAAACAATTTTGTTTGAATTAAAGAATTTGGTATAAGTAGATTACACTGAATTATACAAAGTTACACAGAGTTACACAAAGTGTCCTGCAGCTTGTTGTTATACAAAAAACATTAAAATTAATAAGAAAATATTATGCTAATGAAATATAATTAATAAAATTTAAATAATAAAATTTAATTACTAAAAATCTATATTATAACGATAGTTAACTATAATCTATACAGTTCAATCTTAAATAAATTCAATAGTTTGTTATAATTAACTATAATCTATATAGCTTCAATAGGTAACTATTATTAACTATAATTTTTACAGTTAATTATAGTTATCTGTAGTTTGAGTAGTTAACTTAGTTATCTGTACTTTAAGTAATTAACTACAGTTAACTATAGTTTGAGTAGTTAACTACAGTTAACAGTTAACTGTAATTCGAATAGTTGATCTGCAATATGTGTACGGATGATTTCAATGTTATCCGAAATGCTGATTAGCAAATCACACCACTAGCTATCTTAATTAAATATATATATATATATATTTAACAACTTAGTTGACTGGCATAGCTAATATAATGAGTTAAAATAGAAAAATACAATATTACAATCTATTAAATAAGATATTTTTTAGCTACATAATATTTTTATTTAGTCAAATACTGTACTAAATAATCATATATAACAAACTTAAACTTATTTTTTTACATACACTTACTAATCAAGTGTTTAAATCAAATAACTTTTTTGCAAAAACCTATACATTAAACATTTCTTCTTGTGAAATAATATTCAAATCACTAATTCCAATTCTAGCATGAAATCTAATCAATTCATCTTTATCGGTTTCTTCAATGTATTTTAAAGTTCTCCAAATTCTTTCAAGTAAATCTTTTGGTATTGTATATATTGATTGTGAATGTGAGGAAAGACCACGAAAAAGAGATATCAATAGAACAATAGATGCTATTTATTTTAAACAATGGCAATATTAGTTGGCATGCGTAAATAACGCAGGTGTAATAGTGTCGTATAATTAGAATAATATATTAAATACATAATGCAAATAAGGTTAATATAAATAAAACAACTTGTATCTAAATACCTCTTCGAACCTCAATTTCTTTTTGAATATCCAAAATATTCAAGACCCAATCAATGACATCTCTAAACCAAGTTGATAATGCCAGGGGAGATGTTTCACATGCACATCCGATAATGCTTAACGCTGATATTTTTAACGTTTGATTTTGCTCTTTGTTCAGTACATACAACAATGGCGGTAAAAGTGCCATTACTACAAAAGAATAACCATTTAGTAATAGAATTTACGTGAAGTTGCATTTATTAAAGAGTATTTACTATATTTCCCAAGTGCATCTCCACATCGCTGAATAGTTTGCAAAATAGCCTCTCCGATACGTAGTCGATTATCAAGATTTTGAGAACCATCCACATAAATTGCCATCAATTTTTTCATAATTTTTTCACCATGAATATCAGTCAATGCAGATAACCCTTTCACGGCATTAAAATATATAAAACTATCGATAAATTAATATCGGTTAATTCTAAGATGACAATTTACGATGCAAATATTTAGTTTTTTTTTTTTTTTTAAAAAAAAAAATACATATATATACCTCTCCTCATCTTGAACCATGTTCACAAAAATATCCAAAACCCTATTCAAATTCTCTTCTTCCTCCATTATTATATCTTTCTCAAGAACCATTTCTTTAAGTATCACAAGACCACGTGCCTTAATTGGTAATATGTCATCTTGCAAGGCATCCATGGCTTCTTGAAATTTTTTATAACCTTCTCGCCGGTGAATTTGTTCAAAATCATTACTAGCAGATGAAGTTTGTGATGACGCAACGCGTGCTGAAATAGTTAAATGTAGATTTCGTGCAAGTGAACGAATTGAAGGAGAATGATGATTTTGTAGTGAAAGGTTGTTTTGTATTAAAATTAATAGACTAAAATCTTGAGCCGAAAGAATTTTATGTTCTAAATTTTTTTGATAGAAAAAATTCAGTTATTGAGCGATTGTAATATACCATCTTTTACATTATTTGCAAATTGAATAAAAAGGAAGGTTCCATAGTACCAGCTAACAATGACGTTAAAAGAGTTAAAGCCAGAGATAGAATTTCATCATCATCATTCTCATCTTCATCGTTAATATCCTTTACAATATTATTTAATTCACTCAGATCACTAAATTTATTTTTATTTTCGTTTGCAACTTGTATCGCACAACCTTTCTGATGATACCGCTCCAATACATTATTCACAAATGCAATAATTTGACCGGGTTTTTGCAGAATAACATATCCAAGATTTTCAATCATTGATAAAATAAGATGAAGCAAAGTCAAAAGACTAAAGAAAGTATGTTCTATTTAGAATTTGTACAAGGTAAAAAAATTGACATTATTAAGTGCGGGAACTTACTATCTTGAATTTTGCTCTTGCAATTGAAGAGATTGTAATGACGTGTACTCATTAAGAATATACATAAAGAAATCTCCTGCTAATTCATTATT